CTTTACTCTTTTTAATATACCATCTTTCCTACTTTATCATTTATCATACACACTCTATACTTACCCTACTACTTTATTATTAAAACCCGTGTCAAACCCTAAGAGGACTAATAAAAAAGAACGGAGGTAGTATCATTTACAAAAATGTAATCTCTTACATGCTGTCGAAGCAATGAATGGTGACCTCTCGAGCTAAAATAAAGTCATTTAAGTTTTAATTAAAAACGTGCATGAGTAGTAAATATGACTTGGTCTCAATTTTCTTCATGATGTAAATCTTGTGCACTAAATTATAATTCCAGTTGCTATAAATGTAATCTCTCATAGCAACAGGAATTATAATTTAGAGAGAGAAATTGTGTGTATACAAAAGGTAACTTTGAATAAGGGAGTGTTTGCAATTGTTTCAACTTTAAAAAGTGATTTTGAGAAAAGTGATTAATAGTAAAAGTTGGTAGTGTTTGAGAAAAAAGTGATTCTGAAAAAGTAAAAGTTGGTAGTGTTTGGTAAAATAAGTACTTTTTGTGTAATAGAAAAAGTGAAAAGCAGTTTAAAGCACCCTTCCACCTGCTTCCAGCTTTTAGCTTTTAAGTGATTAATTTAAGCAGAAACTGTCATTTGAAAACACTCTTTTTAGCTTTTTTAAAGCCAAAAGCACCTTTTTTAAGCAACCGCAAACACTGCTTAAGTCAAAATGTATATTACGTGTATGCAAAATGTAATTTGGTGAGGCAAGTCGAAATGTAACCGCGTTAGTTGAAGTGTAACTTGAAGCAAGTCAAAACGTAAATCAAAATATAACTTGAGATAAGCCGAAGTGTTAATGGAAATTTTAACATGACACAAGTTGAAATGTAAATCACGCTTGGTGGAAATATAACTTGATGCAAATCAAAATGTAAATCAAATTAGATGGAAATGTAACATGAGGCAAGTCAAAGTGTAAGCTGTGTAAATATATGATATGTAGCTACAAAAATTATTACTAATCTTCAAATACAAATACAAGTTTTTATTTTAGATTAATAAAACATCAGTTTTCAATTGATGGAGAAAGAAAAAACCTAGATTTATTTTCAAGATGAAGAAGAACACAATTTTAGCTAGGTTATTACTATATTCGTAAAGGAGAGAAAAATAATTGAAGAATAAAAGAAAAAAATTCAGAATTTTGAAGATGAAGACAAACACAGTTGTGGTTAGATTCTTAATATTTTGATGAAGGAGAATGAGATGATTGAAGATGAAAAGGAAAAAATCATGTTTGATGAAAAAGCGGAAAAGATTACTAGAGATATTGACGAAAAAGAAGAATAGATGGTCAGAAAAGAAGATCTATTTGATGGGGTTTTAGTTAAAGAACGACACCATATTATGTACTAACAGTATACCATATGCATGGTATAATGATCATATGGTATAACTTGCGCTTAAGTGGTGTATGACATCATACTACAGTAACTTTTAGTTATGTTACGTTTTTGTAAATAAGTTTTATTTTAATTATATTTTTGAAAATTCTCTAAAGATGTTGGTCATATAACTTGAAAATAACCTTGCAAAAAAAAAGTTATTGGCTCGAGAGTCATTATGTAGGGTCCGTTTGGTAGCACTAAATTTGGTTGAATTGACTGATTTTTTTTTTAATTATAGAAATTAAATTTGAAATATGTTTTATAATAAATTAAAGAAAATGTCATATGAAACAACTAACATGAATGTCTATAATAATTTCAGCCAATTTAGCCAAAAAAGTAATTCCAACAATATTTATTTGGAATTTTATCAATCAAGGGCCTGAAACGATAGGCTTCAAGGAAGTGCTTTTTTCGGGCGAAAGATGAAATGTATCGATATAAGACCCGAAAGGTGGAAAACTGTCAATCTAGGACCCGAATGATTGAAAACTATATAAATATAGGACCTAACTTTTCATAGATTTTATTAATTCTTCTTATTTTAAAAAAATTAAATATTATTTAGTTTTTTTAACTAATAAACTTTTGTGAAGAAAATTTAATCAAATATTCGTAATGGAATTAATAAAAAATTAATTAAATCAAAACATATGAAATGTTAGGTCCTAGATTGATAGTTTTCCATCATTCGGGTCCTATATTGATACATTTCATCTTTCAGGTTCCGGATTAATAATTCGTGTATCGTTCGGATCCCGGATTGATAAAATTCCTTATTTGGAATTTAATCACACGATTCATCACATAAAATCAAAACTTATGTATTATATGAAATGTCCAATGAACTGAAAATAGGAGTTAATTATCAAATAGGCTCATGGTTTGCTAATAAATTATTTTTGGTATACAAGAACTTTCCTTGATATAATAGGAGGCATTTGGCAATAAAATAGGAACATAACAATGAAAAGAAGAAAAAAAATTAGTGAACCGAGCCTAACATTTTTTGTCACTAATTAGCGGGCACTCATTTAATTTTTATGTGACGATATTTTTTGACGCTCAATTTCTTATTTATCTCTCATCTCTCCTTTCTCATGTTTCTCCTGGGAACCTTTCTTTCAACCCCATTCCTCTAACTTCATTATAATGAATCTCTACACCCTTTTATTTCCAACCTTTTATTGCATAAAATTCATATCCTGTCACTCTTCTTTGTACCCCTGAAGTCACATATCTTTAGTCCTTTCGTTTTTCTTAATTAAAGAAAAAGTGAAGATTGTTTAGAGCATCTTAAATGCAACGATGTGATTTTATATAATTTTGATTATTTTTCACAAGAACGTCAACCACAATTTTTACATTTAGGTGTCCATCTTAATTGACATCGTGGATACAACTTACTAAAAACATATAAACATCTCAAATAAGGTGAGGAATATATTACTTATTGCTACCCCCGTCCCTATATTATCTTCACACTTTCCTTTTTCGTTTGTCCCAAAATTATCTTCTCTTTCGCTTTTTGGCAATGAATTTGTGGTTCACAGTAATTCTTACACATTTTTCTTTCATATGGACAACTCCCTATCAATAATACCTACTATCTTAATCTATGTGTCAATTGTACTTAAGGATAAATTAGGGATATATGAAGTAATATTTATGTGTCTATCTCTTTCATGCCTCGTGTGACATTAATGATGCTCTTAATTCTTTAGCTGTTTTTTGTATAATCAGCTTCAATGGAGTGGGTTTCAGTGTTTCACTTATCCTTCCGCTAAGAGTTGGTGGTACTTTTATTATTTATTTTCGATCTGAGCAAAATCGAAATAATCCCTAGTTAGCTTTTTTCCGTTTTAAACGCGTTTTAAACACGTACCGTTTTTTTGACCCAAAAAACACGTTTAAAAGGGGGAGAAATGTCGGTCCGTTTAAAAAGGGAAAAAACTCCTACTTCCCGTATAAAACGTATTTTTCCCGTATTTTACAAAAAACATAAACATGAATTGACCAATTGAATGAATGCACTAAATGCATAGAAGATCAACAATAGTGTAAAAGTAAAAATGAAAACGTCCTCCCCATGATCTTGTGTTTTTGTATTGTTACAGTGCAATTATATTAAATACTAAAATTAATTGCATGATGACTAAAGCCAGCATCCTGAAATACTAAAACTTACGTAGTAATATACTACAAGATTTCTGATGTTTTTTCAAGCTAGCATATCAAAATTAAGATTTTCTAAACCTACCGTTTTTTAGCATAAACTTTTACACAAACAATAATAAGTGTAGCAATCACACAACTTTTGTCATATGTCATCTGTCATCTTAATGAAAATGATGAGTTTAACTTGAGTGTTATTTGATAATCATATAAAGATAATGATTTTTGACATTATTTTTCAAAATTATGTCTTGGACTTAGGGGCGGGCAAGAATCCCGGCCCTGTTGTCCCATTCCGGTATATCCCGAAACCGTACCGGTGTTGTCCCGTTCCGTTTGGGTCTCATTGATTTTGTCCCGCACCGGTCCTGTACCGGTTTAAAACGGGACGGGACCGGGACATTGGAAGGTTATCCCGAACCGTCCCGTTGTCCCGTTTGTAATAACTATATAGATTTGTAGCATGTGACTAGTTTGTAATGTCTACTCAAAAAATAAATGATAACATGTTTTTAATTTTTCAAGCCCAATTTTAAATTAAAAATAATACCTAACATAAATATTTACTAATAACATAGGGTTTTACCTCACTATATATATATATATCTACATATGAGTATCTCACAACTAGAACACATGATTTTGAATAAACTAATTCATTTTTGCTTTGTTTTAAATTTAAATTTCAAATTTTGCTAAACCTAACTAAAATCTAATACTCCGTACGCAGTAGCTTTTAGCTTGTGATGAACATCAATTAACTTTTAAAATGTTAATATTTTGGTGCATGATATTTTAGAAATGCTAATATATATTAGTTACAAATGATTATTTTTTGTTAGTTTGGGACGTCCCGAACCATCCCGAACTGTTCCGAATCATCCCGGTCCCGATTTAAATGGGACAAGACTAGGACAAAGGCTTGTCCCGTACCGTACCGTCCCATTATTATTAATTGGGACGGGACCGGGATAACCCTAATCCCGAACCGTCCCGACCCATGCCCACCCCTACTTGGACTTAATTACTGTTTTTGTTTTTGTCATCGACTTATGCAATTACGAACTATTCTTGTATGTAGTAATGAGATTTGCTACTTGAATATGTGTATACTTTTATTTCTTTTTTACTATATATGTTATTTTATGAAATATATCATTTAAATGTTCAAAATAATACCCGTATTTTTCGTCCGATTTTTTGTAATAGAAAACGTATTATACACGTATACGTATTATACACGTTTTTTTGACCGTTTTTTCTAGTCCAATCCGATCTTGGAAAATTATTTAGGTCCGGTCTTCGTTTCAACCGGTTCCGGTCCGATCGGTCTTGGACCTGTGAATCTGTGATGTCATTAATGCGATCATAGGGAATCTCTTAATGTTGAAAATTTATCCAAAAGTATCAGGGAATAGTAATGTTGCTAGGGAGACTGGGGACAAACCGCGCATATTAGTTTCCAAATATGGTGGGGATAATTAATTAATTACCCCTGAAATTTATCAGTCCATTTGATCTATATGCTTTTTAAATTTCCGCCAAGACTTTACTTCAAAGCTCAAACGGGTCTCGTTGCAGACAAGACAATCCTTTTGGGCTTTCGACATAGATTTCAGCAAGATGTGTACTTCTAAACAATGTTATCAACTTCATCATCACATATGATTGGATTTCATCGAATTTCTGTCCACGAATAGCTGCTTCTGTTTCTGAGCAGAGTGAGGGAGATTTGGGGAAATGGTAGTACATGGGAAGCGTCGGCAGAGGTGTGTGAACAAGGAGAGTTTGCTGGGTTTGAAGTTAGGTCTCTCTGTTCTGGTGGCGGTGAGTTTTGTTTATATGACGGCACTCTTTTCTGGAACCATTAGTCGGATTGTTGAGAGCGGATCTCACTTTCTCGATGACGCTCTGGCATCAACGCGGCCACTTCGTCTCCTTTTACCTCAAGCTGTTGATCTGGATTTCCCTCAAGGTATTTCTTATTCAAATGCTGCTTTGCTTTTTGTTTTCAGAAATGCTCCATATTACTTTTTGTTGTGATGGATGTATATGATGATTATGATGGCGATGAAGGGAAATGCGATTTGGTGTTGAATGGCAGGGTTTGCTTTCTTTTTTTATATCCTGTTGTTGGATTAGATAGGCAAAACTGTATTTTCCTATGCAAGGTCAAATAGCAGGAAATTGCACATAAAATGGCTGCTAATAGAACTAAAACAAAGACAAAGTGCACATTTTTTTGTACAAGAATAAAACTTCTTCAATTACGAGTAAGCGAATCTTATTTTGGGAAGAAAACAATGTTAATCCCATTTGTACACTTTATCTATTTAAGGAATTGTCTCAAAATGAAGAATTCTAGTTGTTATCTATTTGCTTGTTTGACTCAATACATATGTATTCTTCCACATTTTAGTACTTGCTTTTGTTCTTAAAAGAATTTGTTTATTCTGGGGACTTTTTTAATGAGAATCGCTCATCAATGATTTTTCCTGGTACAATGTTTAATAGATAATTAGATATCCATACCGAGTCACTGACAATGCTCTCTTTGATATCTATATAGGGAATGCACAGGTGTGTGACCTTTTTACCGGAGATTGGATTCATAATCCAGATGGTCCGTACTACACAAACGAGACATGCAATTTCATTGAGGCCCATCAAAATTGTATGAAGAATGGTCGACCAGATACTAACTATCTTTACTGGAGATGGAAGCCGCGTGATTGTAGCCTACCCCGGTTTAACGCAAAGAAGTTTCTTGAGCTAATGAGGGGTAAAACTTGGGCACTGATTGGCGATTCAATTTCCAGGAACCATGTTCAATCAATTCTTTGCATGCTTTCAAAGGTATAAGCTGTATTTGGCTTCAAAACTTGTCTTACTTTTAAATGAGTGTTAAGTTGTTAACTGCACTACACTAGAAATCGTTGCCCAGGTCCCAGACTTAGGCGCTATACTTCCTTTAGTCAACCATGATTTTCTTTAATTTCACCCCCCACACGGCCACACCTCATCTAGTCTATATCTTGGATTCTTGATAAATAGAATATCTCTAAAACGAATAAAAGGTGATAAAAATGTTATATGTTTTTTTTCATTCTAAGAAAACCTTAAATATATATATCAATACAATTGAGTAAGCCTTTCAAAAGTTTCATTCCAAACCTCTTCAACATGCTCCATCTAAACATGGCTTAAAGCAGTATTCCCAAACCAACAGCCAGCGCTTCTATGAGCACTGTTTACCTTACATCTATTCATGTGCCAGTATTACAAACTGAGGCAATGTTAACATTTGATGTCGTGTCAACTCGTTTCAAATTGAATCCTTGAGTATGAGGCCAACTCACCTTAGATCAGATCACAACATAGTGGCATACTAATGTGAAATTAAGGTAAAGTTAGTGGCAAGGTTGTCACGGCGGTTTTGCGAGGCGTCTCAGTGAACTGCCTTGTTGCCTAGATGACTAGGTGACTCCTTAGGCGATAATTAGGCGACAAGTAAATATAATACATCAATTAGGATGTTTTCAATTGGAGTGAATTTTTTGTGTGTAGATGTCTATTTTATGTGTACTTTACAATGTATGACCTGGTTTGGTCTGAGACTGAAATCAGTCTGACTAAAAACATCTTTAGTAATTTATTATATTAACTTAAAAATGAGAGTCTAATGTATATTTCCTTTCTCAATGAAACAATAAAAATATAACAAAAAGGAATAATGTGATTTATGTGACTGATGTTTTCAGAAATGGGAAAAAATGGTACAGAGAAAAAAGTAACTAGATTAATAAAGAAACTAAAATGATGAACAAGAAAGAAGAAAAGTAATAATGAAAATGCAAATTTGGGCTAGAACTCAACCCCCCGGCTCCCTATGAATGCATAGTTAACGCCTAAGAGATGTCATTGAATGTTTGGCACTCTTCAGGCAAGGCGACCAGCTATGGGGATTGTATTTTACTGTCTGGACACCTAGTTGCCGCCAAGTCATGGCCTAGGCCAGCTATGGTTTGCGGTTCTAACAACATCGGACCATTTTTTTTATACCCCAGTACTGTAATGAAGCATTTTTTAGGTGGAGCAACCTGTTGAAGTGTACCATGATGAGGAATTCAGATCCAGAAGATGGTTCTTCTCCGAGTCCAATTTCACAATTTCTGTCATTTGGTCCCCTTTTCTAGCAGAAGCAGACATATTTGAGGACTTGGATGGGGTTTCCACATCTGAGGTCGAGCTTCATCTCGACAGGCTTGACAAGAAGTGGAGCCAACATTTCCATAGTTTTGACTACGTGATATTCTCAAGTGGAGAATGGTTTGTCAAGTCAACAGTCTATTTTAAGGGCAAAACATTATTGGGTTGCCACAACTGCCCCAAACGGAACTTAACACAGCTTGGATTCGAGTTCGCATACAGAGAAGTTCTAAGAAGTGTTTTCGGCTTCATCTTGTCATCTTCAAAAGAGCAGCACAAAGGCATGATTTTCTTTAGGACTTCCACATCAAGTCATTTTGAGAATGGTGAGTGGCATACTGGAGGAAACTGCAAACGAACCGAACCGGCCAAGGAAGGCGAGCTCGAGCGAAGTGAGATCCACAAAATTCTCCGCCGTGTGGAGTTACAAGAGTTTGAGAAGCTGGTGGGTGATGGCAGTGAGAAGGGAGTGAAGCTCAAACTTTTTGATGTGAGCCCGCTTTCGTTGCTCAGGCGTGATGGCCACCCTGGCCCTTACAGATTCTTCCAACCATTTGCAGGAGGCAAGAGTGGGCCTGGTATTAGTGATTGTCTTCATTGGTGTTTGCCAGGACCAATAGATTCATGGAACGATTTGATGATGGAGATGGTTCTCCGTGGCCGGGACGCTGATGGACTTGTTGACTTTTAGTGTATTACATTTTGACCCCTTTCATGAATGGTTTTGCGTTCTAATAACTGAAATTAGCCCATCCGGCCATCCCATGCCATGTTTGACGACTGAGGTGCATCTTATAGATTTTTTAAACACTTGTTATTTGTAATTAGGATGTTTTTACTTGGACCGTAATTTGTCCCAGACCAGTCCAGACCAGACCAGACCAATTCAGACCAAACCAGACCAGACTTGGACAGTTATAAAAATACAAAGAAACCAGACCTTACCAGACCAGACCAGTTCAGACCAGACCAGACCAGACCAGCAAATTACAGTCCAAGTAAAAACATCCTAAGGATTTATTCTTTTATAGATAGTTCTTTTCTAATGATTTATAGTTTTATTCGTTCGTTTGTTTATTGTATCACCCTTGAACTACTCTGATATTCTGATTCTGAGAAATAACATTAAAATGCATTTTGGTTTGCTGAAACATGACCGTTTTTATTCCACTGTTTTCTATTGGTAATGCTTTGGGGGCCTTCCCGGTGGAATTTTTTGATGAAATTTTTTGAGCATGTTCCTCATCAAGTCTAGTTTGTCCATACCAAATTTCAGCTCAAAATTCGACCGGGAAGGCATTCAAATCATTTTTTGAAGTTGACTGCGTTTTTTATATGTATATTTTGACGCAGTCAACTTCAACAAATTATTTGAATGCCTTCCCGATCGAATTTTGAGCTGAAATTTGGTATGGACAAACTAGACTTGATGAGGAACATGCTCAAAAAATTTCATCAAAAAATTCCACCGGGAAGGGCCCCAAATGGGGATGTTCGGACGTGTTCGGACCAGGAATGTTCGGACCTGAACATTCCTCTCTCTCTCTCTCTCTCTCTCTCTCTCTCTCTCTCTCTCTCTCTCTCTCTCTCTATATATATATATATATATATATATATATATATATATATATATATATATATATATATATATGAAAACAATTACCCCCTTCTCCCCTTTCTAGCTCTCCTACGATTTCTCCTTCCCCATTCTCTATTCTTCTTCTTTCCTTTTTCATCCATTTGGATCACCTTCATCTTCATTACATTCATTTTCCACATCTTCCATTTTCAACATCTTGTGTCATCTTCAATCATCTTCATCATCTCCCATCTTTATCATTTTGGTCTTCATCATTTTTCATCTTTCCTACTTCATCTTTCATTTTTAGATTTGCCGGAGATGGAAGGTCGCCAGAAAACCAAATCGGAAAGGGAAAAGGTGCAAATAGGTCCATGTACTAACCAAAAAAGGTCAAATAAGCCCTTATTTAGGAAGCTCTGTCCAGCCGTCGCCATTTGGGGTGGTTCTCGGTGGAATTTTTTTATGAATTTTTTTGAGCATCTTATTATTCATCAAGTCTAATTTACTCATACCAAATTTCAGCTAAAACTTCAATCGAGAAGGCATTCAAATGAATTCTTGAAGTAACTTGAATTAGAGTGAAGTTACTTTCCTGGCTTAATTGGGTGAGGTTTTTGTAAGGGGCCATTTTGGCTGTTTTTAATATAATTTTGTTTTATTTTAATAATAAAATATATTTTAAATATATTCATATCGGCTATTTTATTCAACCAATTGCAAAGTTACCAAAAGCTCTAAAACTATCAATATTCAATCTCCTTGCTGCGTTTATATATGAAAATGTTTTGGTCTACACAATCTTTGTGTACAGGTACAACCTGTATACAGACTACTGTGAGAGTGTTTGCAATAGCTTAAAAAAAGCAAATACTCCGTACTTATTTACCAACTTATTTCTCAACTTTTGGATTAAAAAAACACTTACTACGTATTTACCGAATACTATCAATTTTTACTTTTTCTCGGCTTGCGTGTGAAAAGTGCTTTTCCTTTTTCTATTACACTAAAAACACTTATTTTACCAAACACTATCAACTTTTACTTTTCAAAATCATTTTTTTCTCAAACACTGTCAACTATTACTACTTATCCCTTTTTCCCAATCACTTCAAAAGTGCTTTTTTTAAGCAGGAGCAGTTGCAAACACTCCCTGTGTTTGCTTAGATAAACACGTGTGACAAAAGTGTACACAAAAAACGTGTACACTAAGCACGGCTCTTTAATTATACTCCCTCCGGTTTTTAATAAACTTCACACTTTCCTTTTTGGGACGATCTAAAATAAACTTCACACTTCCTTATTTCCTTTTTTGTCAAAGAAACCTACATCAAAACAGTGCCAAACAGTGTCTCAACAGTGCCAAACAGTGTCTCAACAGTGCCAAACAGTGTCAAACAGTGACTCAACAGTGTACTCTACAGTAAAGTCAAATTTCTTTCCTTATTTTGTGTGAAATCAAAGTGTGAAGATTAAATAAAATCGGAGGGAGTATATTCTTCTCCAAAGCTTCCCTGTATATTCCTTCGATATTCGCCATCAACATGACATTGTACATCTACTCACGTTTGTACAATTCTACATAGTATCTCTCCAAATTATATGCTAAAGTCAAATTTCTATAATCAATTACATTTTCTAAGTACGAATATGAATACAACTTAATAAAAATTATGTGAATATTTGGACCTTTTTCTTGTAAAAATGTGTGTGCTATTTCACCCAACATAGTGTAAATATGTCCGATATGCTCATGTCACTTAATATATATCACAACTTTGCCGGAAGACCACTAGCGGAAATATATTAATGCGATATGTAAATGGTTAATTACATCTGTCCAAAATGATGCTATTTATACTAATAATAAATGTTAAGTACATTTTATGCACGTGTATGTGTAAGCTTGTTGCTTGTCCAGACGAGGGATCACCGTGAGAAAATGGCGTTGGTCCAAATCTAATTTCGTCTGAACAGAGACGTTAGCTGAGAGAGATGGCTGACTAGCTTTTTGAACTTCTATGCTTGTTGGACTTGTTCCGGTGGCTTGTGAGTATGTACACCTCCATCACAAAGAATTGTAATATATGATGCTTGAGTGACAATTTAATTAACGTTTTCCTAATAATAAAAAATCTGAATTGGAAATTCTATGGAAACTTACATGCTCCCTCCGTCCCGCTAAGATCTTCCTGCTTTCCTTTTTTAGCCGTCCCAAAATGATCTTCTCATTTCCCTAAATGGAAAGTTATCCTACATCAAAACAGTGTCAAACAGTGCAAAACAGTGGTGCCAAACAGTGTGGAAACAGTGTACTCTATAGTAAAGTCAAATTTATTTCCTAAATATGTGTGTAGGTCAAAGTAGGAAGTTCTTAGCGGGATATAGGTACTATTTGTGAAGCTCAACTGATAGAGACTTACTTCGACAACAATAAAAGTCTAATACATATAAAACAACGAAATAATGTGTCCTGAAATAAAATTAAGCGTGACCACATAAATATTTTGTGTTTCATTTTGGAATATAGGTACATACTTATAATTAAAATAAAAGCTATTCACAAAAATATACATTTATTAAATAAAGTTTAGTAAAATATTTCAAAGAGTTAATTCCCTATCTAGGAGTAAATCATAACAAAAGTGCAAAAGTAGGAGTTTAATCATCCGTGTAGTTTCATAGGAGTAAAAAGCATTGAATGGACAGATGTACCCTTAATGAATACTACAATCCATTTAAAAATAGACTAATAAAGAATACACATCAACGTATTGTCCCTTAAGACGACCCCAGTTGCTGTCGACAACATCCAGGGGTCTTGACCTGCACCAATCATTGCCGCCAGGCACGTCAGTTGCCGCTAGCCGCCGAGCACCGCCACATGTGACCACTGCCGCCACCGCCGAGCACCACCACATGTCACTACTGCCACTCCCGCCGGCGTCGCAACTACCAGATGTCTCCACCGCTAGTCGCCGTCGGTCAACTACGCAGCCATCAACATCACTGTCGCCTCCACCACCACCTCTGCCGCCAGTTCCGCCGCTTCTAGATCCCACCCATGCCACTAATTCCTCATTTAGTGCCACACCTCTTCTAGCACCACACGTTTGTCTCTAATATCACAAATCTCAGATCTGGAAAATTGATTTAAATATCATTTGACCATTTGAATATCATTTAAATAAGATTTAAATAAAAAATAGAGGATATGGATTTTATGTCAAATTGACATTTCGATGGCATAATAAATATTGGATTTGCATGGAAATAATATTGTCATCTCTATATAATTAGTGTCATACAAATGGCAATATGTGCAAAAATAACATTTTTATATATATGAAAAAACATGGCATTATTGGTATTGTTTTTTTTTTCACTTAATGCCACAAATATGGCATTAAGTGTAAATATTATACTTTCACGTAATCAAACATGGCATTATTTGCAAAGAAGTAATATTTTCATTTTAATGTCATAAATTAAAAGCGATTATGAAAATTTGGAATAAAAATTATAAAAGAGAAGTAAAAGAGAGAAGAAGCAAAAAATGGCATTAAGTTCAAAATTATATTTTCACGTAATCAAACATGGCATTATTTGCAAAGGAGTAACATTTTCATTTTAATGTCATAAATTAAAAGAGCTTGTGAAAATTTGGAACACAAATTATAAAACTAATTTGAAGAATTAAAAAAAATTATTGGCATGAAAGTAAAAGTTATTAACTTAATGTAAAAAATAAAGTAAAAAGTTAAAAGAACATATTAAAGGTGAAAGAAAAATTGAAAGAGAATTGAAAGATAGAAGAAGCAAAAAAAAAACTTGACATACGGATCTAGAAAAGAAAAGAAAAAAAACAAAACTCAATTCAAAATCCGGATCTAAAAAAGAAAGAACAAAACAAGGTCATGCTACAAAAATAAGAAAGCAAAGGGATTTACGGTCGAACAAAGCAAAAAGTGACATAAGAAAAGGGGAAGAAGAAGAAAGAAGAAGAAAGAAGAAGAATAGTAGAAGAAGAATAGATCTTACCTTCAATAACCGCCGTTCATAGTCTGCCGTTCATGTGAAAGGAAGAAAGAGAGAGATGATGCTTTAATTTTGTGCGTAGGACTGTAGGAGGATGGGAAAGGGTGGGTCTATGCGGTGACTGTTTGGGAAAGGGTGGGTTGTGTCTGACAGCTAAGTTGTTACGTGTGATAATAATGAAGGAAGAATTGTTCATTAAATGTGGGAGGGTAAATCTGGAAAAGTGAACGGGCAGTCAACTTAAAAGCTCCTATTTAGGGAATAAATCAACAATAACTCTTATTTAAGAAATTTTGTATTATTTTACTCCTATTTAGGGTAATAACCTTATTTCAAAACACCAAGTCAAGAGTTTCAAAGCCGGTAGAGGGAAAAATAATTAAAATACCCCAAACTTTGAAGGGGTGTGAGGTAACCACCCCAAATTTGCTTATGTAATTTAAATACCCAAAACTTTATAGAAAAAGTTATTGTAGCACCATGGTCATGTATTATTTCTTTCAAAAATGTTAATTTTTTGTGTTAATTTCATAATTTAAAAC